CAGCGCAGGCGGCGCACAGCAGAGAGGCGCTGAACCCGCACCTGGACCACAGGCTGCTGGGCGTCGGGGCGATGCCTGCGCTCTGGGCCCTGCTGGCCCTCGGCTGCCTGCGCCTCGGCTCAGGTACGCGGAGCGCTAGGAGGGGCCGCGTCCAGGTGGGGCCAGGTGTGTGGTGGGGCCGGCGCCCTGCCTGCGCCGTCTGCACCCCTGCCCCTCCTGGAGACCCAGGGAGCCTGGGTGGGATGGGGTGACGGGGACTTAGCTTATTCACTCCGGGCGCTGGGTCAGGCCCTGCGCAGGTGCTCGGCACCCAGGTATTGATGGTCATAATAGCAAACGGTTTTGCATTCAGGTGAGCTTCACCCCGTGCGGATGGAGGACTCTGGATGGCCCTGTGCTAGGTGCTGGGAGGGGAGGGCGCGCAGGGGCCGTGGCAGATCAGAGAAGGGGCCGGGCCCGGCTCGTGGGGATGCCTGGCCGAGGGCACACCCGGGAACATTTCCTGCTGAGGAACCAGCACGAGCAGGGGTAGGGGCTGGCCGCAGCATGGCGGGTCCAGGGCGCTGGGCGTCCATCCGTGTGGCCCTGGCATGCGGTGGGGTATGTGCGCGGCCGGGGCTGGTGGCGAGGGCGCGTGCGGAGGGGCGAGGGTGCACCTCACTGCGCCTCCCCTGGGGCAGGGCTACGTCTGGAGGGCAGTGGAGAACCACAGAAGGAACTGGAGTGGGAGCATGGTGTAGCCAGATTTGCATGTTAGGGAGCGGAGGACGCACAAGGGAGAAAGGGGCAGGGGCTGTTCCTAGGGCCCAGGTAAAGAGGGTGGGAACGCCATGGCTGGTCTGATGGGGGTGTGGATGGGTCTTGGAGACCGACTGTCTTGGGCCGGTGGCTGGGTAAGGGGCGCAGTTGGGCCGGACTGGCCGGTTTCTGGCCGATTCCTGGGTGGGGGCAGGGGTGCTACCAGACTCAGGGAGCAGCCCAGAGATGGCCCTGGGTGCCAGGGACATCGCAGGTACTCAATAACTGGACAAAGACACATTGTTGTGCCTGGCGGAGGTGACTGTCAGTGGGGACGGTTCTGCCTGCACTCATTACCCATCCTCATTGCCTCCTGCAGCTGTGGACGTGCAGCCCCAGCTGGCCAGTGTGACCTTTGCCACCAACAACCCCACGCTCACCACCGTGGCCTTGGAGAAGCCACTCTGCATGTTTGACAGCTCCACTGCCCTCGTTGGTGCCTACGAGGTCTACCTCTACGTCCTGGCTGCGGCAGGTGAGGGTCCTGCCTCTCCCCTGCGCACTCCAGGGCTGCTTCCGTCCACAGAGAGGGGAGGAGGAGGTAGGCAGGGGTGGAGTCCATCCCTAAGATTCGGTATCCTGCTCACATCACCGCAGGCACTGGTGGGTGCCAGCCCTGGGCTGGGTGCTGGGGCCACAGGCCTGTCCCTGCTCTTGAGGGACCTCTCATCTCATGGGGCGAATGCTAACAGCACCAATTGCTGAGCACCTATGTCATGCCACGTCCTCTGACACCTCGTTTTTGTTACTAGTTGCCATTGAGTCAATTCCGACTCACAGCAACACCTTACAGCTCGTATTTACAGCCAGCCTGCAAGGTGATCACAAACGAGATGCTGTCATGTCGACTCCGAACCACAGCGACCCCTGTGTGTCAGAGTAGACCTGCCCTCTGCAGGGCCTTCAGTGGCTCAGTTTTCGGAAGGAGATCACCAGGTCTTTCTTCTGAGGGACCTCGGGTTGCACTTGAACCTGCAGCCTTGGGGTTAGCAACAGAGCACGTTCACTGCACCACCAGGCTCAGTGGGGTGGACTAGCTTACCAGGGATCCCAGAGCTGGCATTTGAATCCAAATCTTTCTGGTCCTCAAACCCAAGTCCACCTTGATGCTTCCCAAGTTGGTTCCAGGTTGGTGTTGGCAAGGCGAGGACCGGAGTTGGGGCCTGCTCGCTGGGGGCCAGCCCTTACCCCTTCATGGGCAGCATCCTGGGCCTCCGATTAGTGCCAGCAGGGATGCATGGTCGCACACTCAGGGTCACCCTGTCACTTTTCAGCAACCATTTCCTGAAGGTCACCTGTGCCCGACCTGTGGGCACTGCAGGTTTCCTCCCATTTGACAGATGGGAGCGTCCAAGCCCAGAGAGGTACCATGACTTGTCCAAGATCACCCAGCTAGTAAGGGAGAGACCCAGGACCCAGCATAGGTCTATCTGCTTCCAAATTATCCCCCCCACCCCGTATCAGATGGCTGTGCTTTCCTGTCTCACAGAAGAGGGTACCAGGGCTTCTGGGAAGAAGGGAGAAAAGTCAGTGGGGTGTGGGGTGGGAAGGTCATAGGAATATAACAAACTAAGGTGGGTGAGATCCAGGCACAGAGTGTAAGCAGGGAGGTCCTCCAGGCGGGGGTCTTGCTTCCTATACTGCACTGGGAGCCCCTGAGGGTTCATCTACCCTCCACGGCTCCAGAAAGTCTAAAGTCCATGAGAATTTAAAATTCTACTCTGCATTTCCTCCCTTTTGATCAGGATTACTCTATAGAACCTTTGATCAAAATACTCAGTAATGGCAGCTGGGCACCATCCAGTTCTTCTGGTCTCATGGCAAAGGAGCCAGTTGTTCGTGGGACAGTTATCCACAATTCCATATCCACCCCCTATGCCTGACTCCTCTTCTTCCTCTATTGCTCCAAGTGAAGAGAGACAATTGTTGTGCCTTGGATGGCTGCTTGCAAGCTTTTAAGACCACAGCACTGCACAATGAACAAGGAGGCAGAGCAGAAGCACCAAACATGTTCTTAGATCAGTGAACTGTGCTGTTCCATGAAACCATGACACTCAACCTCCAACCAAGAACCAAATCCCGTGAGGTGTTTGGTTGTATACAAGCCACCCCATCAGCTGCTCTTTTTTGTCATTGTTGCGAATAACTCTATCATATACTTACGATACATGATTCACTAATTGGTATTTGGCAAATTCAAGTTTTTACAGGTATACAGTTAACTGACAGCAATTATAGTAGTTGGCTGCGTAACCCTAAATCAATGCGGCTTTTCCCTCACCATTAACTCCACTTTTCTCGCTCCTTCCTTCTTGCCCCTGGTAACTGCCAACAAGGTTTGGTCCCTGGACGTTTGCCTTTTCTTACCTTTTTACACAAGGGAGATCATCTGCTACTTGTTCTTTGGAATATATTTCGCTCAGCGTAATGCTCCAAGCTCCACCTGCACTGAGCATCAGGACTCCATTGGTCCTGCTGGCTGAGTTCTATTCCATGGAAGGGATGGACCCCATTTTGTTTGTCCATCATGTGTGGATGGGCATTTAGGCTGTTTCCCCCTTTTGGCTATGGTGAATAATGCTGCAGTGAACAAGGCTCTTTTGGGTCTCTGCTTTCACGTCTTTTAGGGGTATATACCTAGGAGCGGAATTTCTGGGTCATATGGTAGTTCTGTTTTTTATTATTTTAGAAACTGCCACACTATTTTCCATAATGGCTGTGCCACTTTGCATTCCCACCAGCAGTGGATACGGGTTCCAATCTCCCTACATTCTTGTCAACTTTTTTTTTTTTAATCTCAGCTATCCTTATGGGAGTGTAATAACATCTCACTGTGGTGTAGACTTGTATCTCTCTGATGGCTATGACTCTAGCATTTCTTCCTGTGTTTGGTGGCTGTCTGAACGTCCTCTTTGGTGAAATGTCTATTCAATTCCTCCTCCCATTTTCGTGATTGAGTTGTTTGTCTCTTTTTGTTAAGTTGTTGAAGTTATATATATATATTTCAATTACTAGGTTCTGTAAGATATGTGGTTTCCAAAAGTATTCTCCCAGTTGCTAGCTTGTCTTTTCACTTTTTTGATAAAGTCTTTTGACAAAGAAAAGTTTTTAATTTTTATGAAGAATGTATTTATTGTGTCCTTTGTCCTTTGGTGCTTCTGTTGTTGTATTAGATAATCCACTGTTGAAAACTGGGCCAGTGTCTTCCCTGATTGTTCTTCTAAGAATTTTATGGTTTGAGATTACATATTTCGGTCCTGAATTAGTTTTGAATTTTTTTTTTTTAATATGGTGTGAGGCAAGGATCCTGTTTCGTTTTTCTGCACGTGGAAATCCAATTTTCCTAACACCATTTATTGAAGAGACTCTCCTTTCCCCACCGAATGGACTTAGCACCCTTGTCGAAAATCAGTTGACCACAGATGTGTGATTTTATTTCTGGACTCTCAGTTCTAATCCATCGTATCTATGTGTCTACTGTTATACTGGTACCAGGCTGTTTTGATGATCGTAGCTGGGTAGTATGTTTTAAAATCAGGAAGTGTGACTGCTCCTACTTTGTTCTTCTCTTTCAATATTGTTTTAGCTATTCAGGGCCTCTTGCCATTCCACATAAAGTCAAAGTCTTGTTTTTCTATTTCTATAAAGAAGGCTGCTGGGTCAGGGAGCCTTTGATGATGGACTGAGTGAGTGACTCCTCGCTAGGGTGGCCATGACCTCACTTTGGCACTACCCTTGCAGCCAGCTCCAGGAACGCATCTGTGCAGGACCACACCAGTGCCCCGCTGAGCTCGACGTTCCGGCAAACGGAGGGCGGGCGTACGGGCCCCTACAAGGCTGCGGCCTTTGACCTGCAGCCCTGCAGCGACTTGCCCAGCCTGGACGCCGTCAGGGATGTGTCCCGGGCCTCGGAGATCCTGAACGCGTACCTGGTCAG